GATCGTCAGCTCCGCCATCTGCCGCCCGAGGTTCTCTCTGCGCCCCAGGTCCACCCGGGCACCGCGCGCTCGGCCTTGCGGGAGCTCGGGTTCGCTGGGCCCGACGTGCCCCCCCTTGCTAGGCGCGGGCGATTCCACCCCCCCCTTTGGTACGCTTGCCTCCGCCTCCTCCTCCTCCTCCTTTTCCTCCTTTTCCTCCTTATCCTCCTCCTCCTCCTCCTCCTCCTCCACCTCCTCTCTCTCGTGTCCCCCCAACCCCTCCTCCTCGTCGTCCTCCCCTCCTTTTCCCCATCCCCCTCCTGAAGCTGGACGGAGCTGCAAAGCTCCTTCGCGCCTGCCTGTCCAGTCAGGTTACTTTTGGCCTTCGCACGAGGTCTATGCCTCCGCAGAACGACGCCCTGATACGGCTGCATTGGGGGGGGCTTCCTCCAGTCTGGCATATTTGAAGAGTGTTTTCTTGCCGCGCCGGATGCCAGGCATTATAGTTCAGTTGGTTTGCGCATGTCTGGCTCGATTTCCTCAAGTGCGGTCCCTGTTTCTTTGCGATGCCGCGATGCCCCTCATGCTGGGGCAATGGCCATTCCGCAGGTAGCAGCCTGATGCGGCTAAATGTGGGCGAGCCTCCTCCAGTCTTGCACATTTGAAGAGTGTGTTCTTACCGCGTCGAATGCCAGACATTCTAGCTCAGTTGGTTTTCGCATTCCTCTGGTGTCCTCAAGTGCGTTCCTTTTTGGGTGATGCCGTGGTGCCCATTATTCTTGGTCGTTGCCACTTGCACATGGCAGCACCCTAATACGGCTATATGGGAGTGGACCTTCCCCAGTGTGGCCCCTGTCGAAGTCATTCCGTAGAGCGGCATTGCTTTTTAATTCGTGAGGTTGTGCGTTCTAGCGATTCCGTTTCCAGTTGAGGCCTTAGTCTCCAGGGCACAATTTGGTGGCGGTGCCGGCGGTCCTGCGTTCGCAATGCGCGCTCGAACGAGGTATGACATTTTATTGTGCAGCGTTTATGACAGCGTTTTGATACGGCTGTGTGGGGGTGGGCCTTTCCCGTGTTGTGCGTCTGAAAGTGTCGCACTAGAGCGGCAGCTCTTTGCTTCGTGAGCTTGTCCGTTCGAGCGATTCTGTCCCAAGGCGATGCGTTGGCATCCAGGACAACGCCTGGCGGCAATGCTGGCGATCCTGCTTTCACCCTGGACGCTCGCACGTTGAATATATACCCACAGGGGGTGAGCCTTCCCAAGCTCTGCGCGTTGCAAACTTAATGCGCGATGGAACGGCAGCTCTTGCCGCGCTTCGTGAGCTTGTCCAGTCTAGCGGATCCGTTGCCAGACCAGGCGATCATGAAACGTAAGCTCTCGTCTTCGTGGGCTTATCCATTCTACCGGTTCTGGTTCAAGCAGAGGCTTTAGCCTCCAGCTCCAGGGCGCAGCCCGGCGGCAATGCCGGCGGTCCTGCATTCGCAATACACGCTGTCGCGAGGTGTTTACCTCTTCAGGGCAGCGCTTTGATACGGCCGTATGGGGGTGGGCTTTCCCCAGTCTAGCACGTCCGAAAGTTTCTTATAGAGCGGATGCTCTGTACTGGGTGGGCTTGTCCGTTCGAGCGACTCCGTCCCCAGACGAGGCGTTAATAACCTCCAGGACAGACCAGCGGCAATGCCGGTGATCTTGTTTTCATGATGGGGTTTCGCACGTGCCATCGATCTCCACAGATCAGCGCCTCCATATTTTGTACGGCTGTATGGGGGTGGGCCTTCCCCATCTTAGCACGTGGAAAACATGAGCATGGGACGGCGGCCTTTCGATGCGCGAGATGATCCGTTCTACTGATTCCGTTTCCATCATTGGCTGTCTTTTGGCCCCCAGGAAGCAGCCGAGTGGCGATGCAGGCGGTCTTGCCTTCACAATCCACGCTGTCGCGAGGTATTGATCTCCTCAGGGCAGCGCCTCGATTGGGCCGTCTGGCGTGAGCCTTCCCAGTCTGGCACGTTCGAAGGTTTCTGACAGAACGGCCAATCTTTACTTCGTGGGCTTGTTCTTTCGAGCGGTTCCGTCCCCAGACGATGCGTTAACCTCTACGACACAGCGCAGCGGCAATGCCAGTGATCTTGCGTTCGCAATGGCCACTCGCACGTGTTACCTACCTGCACAGAGCAACGCTTTTATATTTCATTCGCTTGTATGCGGGTGAGCCATGCCCAGTGCAGCACGTTGAAACAGTTTGATCATGGAACGGTCGCTCTTAACACATGTTTGTTTCGTGAGTTCTTCCGTTTTACTGGTTCGGCTTCCAGCTGAGGCTTCAGCCTTACGGGCACAGCCTGGCGGTAATGCTAGCGGTCTTTCTTCTGCAACGCACGGTCGCACGACGCATTTACCTCCGCAGGGCAGCGCCTTGATTCGGTTGTGCGGGGGCGCGCTTTCCCCAGCCTAGCACGTTCGACAGTTTGTTCGTAGAACGGCCTCTCTTTACTTCGTGGGCTTGTCCGTTCGAGTGATTCCGTCCCCAGACGAGCCATTGGCCTCTAGGACACAGCCCGGTGGCAATGCTGGCGGTCTTGCCTTCGCAATGCATGCTTGGACGACGTATTCAACTCCTGCGGGCAGCTCCCTCATGTGGCTGTAAATGGATGGACACTTTCGAGTTTTGTGCATGTGGAGCGTGATTTCGTGCTGTGGCGAATACCAGGCATTCTAGTCGAGTTGTTCTGCACATTTTCGCATCGATTTCCTCAATTGCGCTTGTCTTTTTGTTGTTTGATGCCGTGCTACGTGTCAACCTGTGCCACTGTCCCTTCACAAGGCAGCACCCTGATACGGCTGAACGGGGATGAGCCTTCCCCAGTCGTGCTCATTTGCAGAGTGTTTTCTTGCCGCGGCGAATACCAGGCATGATTTTTCAGGGGGTCTGCGCATTTCCGCCTCCTTTTCCTCAAGTGATTTCTTTTTCATCGTTGATACCGTGATACCCGTCATGTTGGTGCATTGGCCCTTCGACAGGGCAGCGCCGCGATACGGCAAGTTGGGGGTGCGCCTTCCCAGCCTAGCATGTTGGAAAGTTTATCTTAAACTGGGGCCTCTGTTCTAGCCGATGCGTTCTGAGACGACGCTTTGGCCTCCTAGACACAGCCTGGCCGCAGTGCTGGCGATCCTGCGAACCCTCCGCTTGTGTTTGCCAATTGTTGAGGCGATTGTCTTAATGAGGTGAACAGAGGTGGCTGCCACTCGACATGCGGAGGATGCATGCACACCATGAACTTACAGTGCCTAAAACGGTGCAACACGTGCACCATCATCAGCAGAAGGTGGGACTTCCCGCATTTCATCAGCACCGATTATCAAGGATGGGAGAGCCCCAGTGTTTCACCCGACACACA